CATTTACCCAGACAAATCTATGTAGATACGCCAAATCTAACTTTAACTGATATGATTATTCTGTAGTATTTAAAATATTTAATTACTTTTTTTTATTATTGCTATTATGAAAAATATTTGTAAATTGAATAATTTTATTTTTGATTTCATCTCCCTTAATATTATTTTCAATAATAATTTAAGCTAACTTGAATTTATTATATGTACTCTAAATACCACATTATTTTAAAATTCAAATATGTAATTGATTTTTTTTGTAGGTATTTTTTCATTTTTTAAAAATAATTTTATGTTTCACATACTTCATATTTATTTTAATAATATTAATTTTAAATATAATTCACTCACGAATTTGTATATAGTGGCACTATACTGTTATAATAATTGGTTATTATAATAATTTTTAATTTAATAATTCAATTATTTACATTAGATTATTTAGAATAATTTCAAATAAATAATCTTTTTTTAAGTGTATTTGAATTGTGATTTGAATTATGTTTTATTATATTGCTGATATTTTTATATTGTTCATATACACATACATATTTGATTTTAATTCCGTAAATATTCTTAAAACAAAATTAACTAACTAAATTGAAAATGCTTTTTGAGTATCTCAATGCCCGAAAATTAAAAGTTGTCGAATATATGCAAAAAATAATTTTGTATACATATTTGGTGTGGTTTTAAATATTATAATTGACCAATAATAATAATATGAACCATTTTTTGGCACTAATAATGTGATTCTGTCAGAAGCATTGACGATTCGTTAATTTACAAAAATTATACACCATTCTAGATGTACCGAAAATAAATTTCAGTACATATTATAAATAACGTGCAAACCTTATTTTTACTTACTTCCCCATTCCACAAAAAATTATCCAAAGTAGTTTTTTCTTGACTTGCATGTAAAATGCATGTTTTTGGCAAATTACTGTTTACAAACTATGTAAAAATAATGTTATAATTACTTTAAAACGTCATGTAATAAACTGGTTTTTCGCTTAATTTTAAGTGCAATTTTTTTCCTACATGGCAACTCGGGTGGCTTTCAAATTTAAACAGCTTATAAATATCGATAAATATTTCTTCTTTTTAGGAACAAGTTTCTTTGTACTTTCTTTCCCTCGCGAGTACTACTTTAACTCTGTAGTATTTTCGAAACTCTATAAAATAGGTTCAACTTCTATAAAGGAATTGAAGGTGTTGTCGTTAATCCATTCTCTTAACCAAAAGCATTAAATTAATTACTAATTTAGTATTATTTATTCAAATAAAGGAAGATTTTGAGTTTACGTTCAAAATAGATATTTCCTTAATTGAAATTTTAAGAAAAAATTAAACAAAATCATCTTAAATCTCTAAAAATCTTTACTTTAAGTTGTACTTTGAAAATCTTTACTTTACTTTAACTTTACAAGAAAAAATTACTTGAAACTTAACGTGATTCTTCTCGAAAAACAGTTCTACGACTAACTCTTCATTTTCTCAGCCAATAGAATTATAAAATTATTAAATGATTTTAATTTAATGTTTAAAGGTTGCAAGATACAACACAAATGTAATTTGATCTTCACGCTAGTCAAAAATTTTTTAAAGAAAACGTATTTATATAAAATTTTTAATATATAATAAAATTTGCAATAATCGTATATGGTAAACAGGCATTTATTTTTGTAGTTTATTTCCATAGATAGTTTTCATTACATAGACTAAAAGATTTTCTATATGCCATTGGTTCGGTCGACTATACAATTTTTATATTGACTTTTTAATTGCAATTTCAACTTTGACTCAATATAATACGCAAGATTTGTTTAAGATTTTCCCACATAAACCGCTAAGTGTTTCGCTCAAATAAGAAATTAAACAAGTAAAAATGTTTCAGTCGGTATAAACCGATTAAATTATACCTTATTGTTGTATAGCAATTACTCGTGAAACTTGTGAAACCATTCTATAGAAATTTTATGGATATGTCTGACCTAAAATTGGACACACGACAGCCAAGTTTCATGAATCTGACATTATTTTCCCGAATATAAAAAATTTGCTTTTGGAATTGTGTGGCAGCCATCCGAACCGGTGCCGCCATCCCATTAAAATTTTTAGAGCATATGTAGAATGTAATTTTATCTACGTATACAAAATTTCATATTTATACCTTTATTAGTTTTTTAAATATTTTAAATAAACTCTTTAAATTGTATGGTAGCTTCCCGAAACTGTTGTCCGAATTGGTTCAATTACAATAGGATTAATAGGAAATCAACGCAGAATTTTACGTTGAGCAAGAATATATATATGTATGTCAATACCACAGATGACTCCTTCAAGTAGTTACAAACTCCATACCAAAGTTCAGGGTATAGAAATATGATGTGAACAATACATATGTATTATTCACACCCTAACCCTATCGTATATTTTCTGAATAGTTTAGTTTTAACTGAAAGAGCTAAAAACTTCCTTTGAACCTTTATCCTTAAAATTTAAGAAAATTCGTAACCATTGTGTTTGTATTGTTCCGAAAACATATACATATTTGGTGCTCATTAGAGACTCTTTTTTTCTTTTGGAGTCTAAAATTTTGAAATTTCATGAAATTTATAGAATAGATATTTTTCACATGTATTTTTAAACTCATTTAAAAGAGACAGAAGAAAATATTATTTGGAGGGCTTGTACTCGTACCTCTCATTTTAGCGCATAGAGAAAAAAATAAAGTTGCGTCAAACCAATAGTTTGTATTGTAGCACTTCTCCCTTCAATAAGCGAAAATTCTGCTGTTCAATACAGTCTATGTATACCTATCACACTATTAAAATTATTTTCATTCATTTACAAAACTATTTCTAAGATTGCATATATTTAGGATGATGCATATATACAGTCTTTGAAATAAAGCAAAAATTAATATAAAGTGGGGTTAACATAAAGCTCGATTTTAAGGTTTAATTCTGTGAGTTAAGAAAAATAATTATATTTTTTAATGATATGGAATTTACCCTTAGCTTTTTGCGTTTGCTTGCGGTTTCGGAAATATAAGGTGTCAAAAATTCAAATTTTACAAATTTCAAGAGGCGATAACTTGAGAGGGGGTGGAGATGGAAAAAAATTTTCTTCTAACGAAATAAAGCATTTATTAATGTCTAAAAGCTCCTAAAATTTCAAGCTTCTGGAGGCTGGGGTCTAGAAGAAAAATGACATCAAAAATTTGGAAAAAAGGACTTTAAATAACGGTAAATTTGAACGGCCATTTTGTTTTTCTAAAGTTTAACTATAGTATACCGCGCTATTGGAAGGAACCCACTGCCTTTCTGCGTTTGCAAAATTTCAAAAATGCTTATGGTTTCATTGCAACAAATAGTTAAAAAAGGCCATTTTTAGAGTTTTGTGGTGGTATAACTTCTAGAGGGGGAGAGATAGGTAAAAATTTTGTTCTACGGAAATAAGTTTCGAGTAAAGATCTATGTACGTATTAAATTTCAGGCTTCTATCTTCAAGGGTGTAGAAGTTTTGTAAACAAAAAAAGTGTCCACGGACGGACGGACGGACTAACTGACGGACGGACGGACAGAGTGAAACTAATAAGAACTTTTTTTCAAAAAATTTTTGGAAAAGTGCTAACAATAACAAAAATTTTCAAGAAATTTTGTTTTTTTTACAAAAATTTTCAAAAGAAATCCCAAGGTCTCACTTAGCTTTTTCAATTGTATCTGAATAGTTTTTTCTCGACAACTAAAGGTCAGATACAATTGATTGAAAATGAGCAAAATAAAGATCCATCACTTATCTTTCAAATAAATGCCTACTAGTTACTCTAAATTGCACGACTCCGAAGCAATTAGCATTTTAATTTTTTTAAATCAATATCAGCCTATGTTAACTATTTCATAACATGGTTCATACTCATAATACACAAAGTTTAGACCGCTAATTATAGTTTTTCAAAAAACTGAACACGAAAACATCTTTTATGCCAATATCATTTAATTTATGCCAATATTAAAGATAATTTACCATAAAGACTATCATTGGAATATCAAAAGATATGAAACATTTTGAATTATTAATTTTTTTCAATTTAATACTTTAATTAGATTTAACATTTTAACGAATAACATTTTAATTAAAATTTTTTTTTCCGATTCAAAGTAAACTCGACCAGTTGTTTCAAAATGAAATTCTTAGCGTCTAACTTTTTAATGCCGTTAAATCAAATAATGTTCCATTTTCTATAAGATCACAAGTGTTCCATTTTCATATTAATTATTTTGTATAAAATATTAAAAGGTTTAAATATTCTCTAAATCACACCTTATCCAATGAACAAACCAATTATATTGGAAGTTTACAGCATCTTACCACATACCTTGACACTTTGATAAAAACGATTCTCGAATTTATCATTTATCATCATCTTCTTAAACATCAAAAATAAAAAACATCAAAACAAAAAAACATTTATCTGACTTTTGACATTTTTCAATAACAAAAAATATTCATTTGACATCCAACAGATTTTTAAAGAAGAACAGAAGAGCAAAATGAAGTGTTGTTTTTGGCCTAAACGAAAATAGTTGTAATAAAAAATTTAATATGTGTATATAATTAATTAGCTTTAATATTAATATTTAATAAAGAGAGTAATTTTTTAAAAGATAAAAAATAGAAAATTAAATTTTTTACCAAAGAAATTCAATTAGTTTTTAAAATAAAAGAAAAAATAAAATCTTGTTTTTTTTTTCCAATTTCTACAATGAAAAAAAATTTTGTTCAATCAAATTTTTCTTGATTGGTAAAAGTAATTGGATTTTCCAAAAGAGTAATAAAAAATTTAAATATTGGGTATATAAGTAATATATATATACATACCTATATACAATAGTCACCAAAGAAAAAAAAATTAAGATGAGTTGAAAAAAAATTAAAAAAAAAAAGAACAATTTTCATTAAATTCAATTCAATTAATTTGAATTCTCATGAAGAAAAAAAAAACAATAATAAAAAAAAATTAAACTTATTTATTATGCAAATTCGAACAAATATGTATGTATACATGTTCATACATAAATTTAAGTACATATGTTATAATATTTTATACATTTATTAAAATTAATCTAACTTCAATTAAAATTTAATAAAAAAGATCATAAAATTAAATAGAAAAACAAAATAAAGTAATGGGTTGTATTAATAGTAAAAATGAATTAGACATACATCCAAATATCTACCGTGTAGTTAATGTTGATGAAGAAGGCTATAGACGTTGGTCTGGGCAATTGGAAATAGCTCCAAGGGAATTAACATTATATAGAAAAGGTAAAAGTTAATAAAAGTTCTAATAATTGTTATACTTACATCTCGTTTAATAATAGGTAGGCACTTAAGAACTCCCTAAATGCGACTAAATATCTATAGATATAAGTAGGTTGGTAGGTACCTACCTACCTTTATTTTCAAGTTAATATTTTGTTTACATTCCTTTTTGGTAAAAATATATTTTGATTTTTTTGTTTTATACCTACATACATACATAATACTACAGTATATGTAATAATACCTGTTAAGGGAAAAGTAAACAATGAAAATATACATATTTGTGTAACAAATTATCCATTCCATCGTTATAATATAATAATACAAGAAATAAATATAAATTTCGCGTGTTATCTACCGTACCTATCTAAGAAATAATACATAAACTTTGTATTGAATTTTTTATATTCTTAATAAGTACTTATAAGGAAGCTATATTTTCCGAATTACTATTAAACCATCTTTGTATGGGTATAGGTAGTACCCATCTATTTCCTTACCTTCAATTTCTACAAGTTGAAAATTGGAGTAAATAAGTTCGAGTAAGTAAGTAAGGCGGAGTATTTCCTACATAAATCAGCAATTAAAATGTAAAAATCTTATGTATTAATTTTCAGTAGCACTTATTAATTAGTAGCGTCCCTACCTAAATTCTTATATTGAAAGCTAAAAAATTTGCAATACTTACTTAACACTAATTTTAACTTATCCCATATATCTATATTAACTTTCTTAAAACGAAAACAAACCCTTTGTTCTCTAGTGGTTGATAAGTAGTTTATTTAACAACACGCTCTATTAATGTTTTTTATGTCACACTGGGAAATTTATTATTTTATTCTAAATTAAAACAATTACTGTGGTTCTCCAATCAATTAAACAGAGTTTATTAAATTAGAGTAAAGAATTAGAACAATTTATTTCAATCAATTTCATTTGTTACAAAGTCGTAAAATAACATTATGGTTTTACATACTTAAGTGTACGAAATGAACATTATTAACACATATTTATCTAAATTAAATATTAAGTAGAGGGAATTCACATTTTTTTGAATCAAAAAGAAAAAAAGAAAAATTAAAATCTAAGGAAGTATTTTCTCGAAAATTCTATTTCTGTTACTTAAGTACGTCTATGATTCGTTTTTCTAATACAATTGCTTATAATTATTATTTTGAAATAAAAATAAGTACAATGAATTAATATACTTTTAGGTAAAGAACCCACAAAATGGTCACTTCAACATTTACGACGTTATGGGTTTGATGCTGATTTGTTTACGTTTGAAGCAGGGCGACGTTGCACAACCGGAGAAGGAATATATGCTTTTCGATGTAGACGTGCTGAAAGTTTATTTCATTTATTACAAACATACATTAATCAAGGACTTACTAACGATATTGATGGCACAGTTCAAAATTCAAATGATATGTTAAATTCAATGTCTGGCAGAGTTCCTGTTAGACCGCTTGGATTACTGAGTGATCATAATCCTAATGATGATTATGTAATACCTTCGAATGTAATTGGAAGTACTAATAATGTAACTAATACTAGTCATGTAGAGGGAAATTATATGGAACCAAATCCAATAGATGCACAAAATATTAGAAATTCATTAGGTGGGACGCGTCTTAATTCCTTTGAAAGTAGTAATGGACCTGTTAGTACAGATGAAATGGGAGAATTAAATTCACCTGGATCACCAAATAGCTTTAATATGATATTAGAGGTGACACAATTAAATGAGGCTCACCACGGACATCATCATTTATCATCATCACATTATCAAAATAGCAATGTTTATCAAGAATTTCCTCTAAGAAGTGCAACAGAAAATAACAATAACATCAATAATAAGAATAGAATGAATCCAATTAGTAATAATAATAATATCAATATGCTAAGTAAAAAGCTTTCTTTAGATATTCCGCCTCAAGAACCGGCACCGAGTGTAACAATGACAAATGCAACAAGTTGTAATAGTATCTTAAGTTCAAGTTCTAGAATATCAGGTATAACCCGGACATTTCATGACAAACCTCTTTCATGTTGCAGTCAAGTGATAACTAACTCAAATGAACTTATAACATCACCAACATCATTAGCTCCATCTATACCAACAGCTGCAAATCCCACATCTATAATTGATTCAATGGAATCAAAAAGTCATATGTATGTTAATGTAACTCCTGGCGAAATCGATGGTATTTGTGGTACGCCAATCACCACACACATGAACACATTTACTTTACCAAGGTTATCATCGTCTTTTACCATTGTAGATCCCGCATTAAGATGCTATGAAAATTTGGAACCAAGTGAAATGAGAGCTATAATTTCAAACAACTCCTCAATTATTAATGCAAATGCAGCTCCAACATGCAGAACTTTACATCAACGTTATTCAAAACCTGATATATTTGCTAATGTAGAGCTTCCACCGGCTGAAAAATCAGAGCCGTCCACACCTACAGCAAATCTAAGTGGCGCACCATCTTTAACATTAAGTGGATGCTCAACCACACCAAAAAAGGACGCAAAAAGTGATGTCAAAGTTAATTATATTGTTTTAGATCTCGATCCACCAGCACCAAATAACACAGTCTCCACTGCAAACACAGCCGGAAATAATACAACATCAATTACTGCAAATAATAGTTCAACTGTTATTACTACTCAACATGCATCAGCAACTCGAATAAATTCAACTCATAAAATGATGGAATCTGTGACAAGTCCTACAGCTAAGGGAAATCTAAATAATGCTACTAGTGTTATTACTAACAAGGATACCAAATTAATAATAAGTAGTAGTCGAAGTGGAAGTGGTATTAGTAATTTATTATCACCTGATAGCCCGAAAAAAAATTCAATGTCAGGTCTTGGTTATGCAACAATTGACTTTAATAAAACAGTTGCATTGTCCAATTCTATAGTACCAGTAGATGAAAACTGTGAAGGATCTCGGAGAACAAGACATAGCAATCCAGCTAGGCACAGCAATTCAATTAGTGATTAAATACTTATTTTAAAATTCGTTATGAAAAATATAAATTTGCTTCAAAAGTTCAAACTGATGAGGTGTTTTGAATTCATCTAAGGTTTGTTCAACAAAAAAGTGTATGTATATAAAAATATACCTGAAGGTTGTGGTTTTCCAAAAACAAAAAAATAAAAAAAAAAAGCAGAATAATATTAGAACGTATGTTATTTGATTATATTAAAAGTACATAAATAATATATTTTGAAAATTTAGGGAAGATTTGATATTTGAATTTAATTTTTACAAATATTATACAAAATTTATTTCAAATCATAATTTTCATTATAAACTGTAACAATTAAAATAATATTTACTTTTTCACTGGCACTAATTTATATAATTTATTATTTTTCTAACAAACTAAATTAAATTCCAATCAAAAATAACTATTTGAAAATTTAATTAAACTGGAAACATTTAATACCAAAAAGGCAATAAAATACAACAATCAAGCTTTATTCAAATAAAGAATCACTTTTCTTTATTATTCAAAAACGAAAAAATATTTTAATAAAAAAATAGAGAAGGTAGTTAGAAACAAGTTGCTACTTTCTTTTTAAGATTAAGAATAGTTTGTGCCAAAAAAATATTCAATTTTTGTAAATTAAAAGTAACAATTTGCTCAAATATGTACAATAAATAATTTTAATTAAATTCAAATACATACCTATATAATATACAACATAGTAAATGAAATTTGCTTTTGAAATTTTTTTTATACATAATACTTATTCATATTATATAAATACTTCACATACTTCACAAATAAAATGGAACATAAATAGTAGACTAAATTTAAAACAAAAAAAAAAAATTTTTGTAATCAAATTTACTAGTACATAATTTAATTATAGCCAAAGATGACAATTATTTTTTAATTTTAAATTATTAACTATTTTGCAAATTGAATATATTTAAATTTTGTGATTTTTGCATTGTTTGAATTTACAATATTATTCATTAATGTATATATAATTAAGTGAACATAAAAAATGCTTTAAATATTTAAAGAAAAATATTGTAAAAATTATAAATGTAATTTTCAATTGAAAAAAGAGTTATTATAGAGAAGTAATAACAACTTGTATAATTTAAAAACATTTTATATACATATTATATAAAATCATACAAAAATTATTTATAAAAATCAAATTAAAAATATAAAATAAAAACAAGAAAATAAAATGCTCCAAAATACAAAATATCAAAATACTAAAATTGATTCAACAAAAAGTGGCAATCTGAAAACTTGAATAATTTGGAATACATAATCTAGTTTAAGATAAAATTTCTATTTATTTTGCTTTGTTGAACAATTTTGCATAAAAATATTTGCTGAATTTCTAAATTTAGAATCTTCAGTAATTAATCAAGAAAATTTATTCATAATATTATTATTTATTTAATTGATATTAGATTTTATGTAGATATATTAAAATTTATATTATTTATACACAAATATTTTTAATTTTTAATATTTTTTTGACAAATCTTTGTTACAATCAAAACCACGGCGTAATTCAAAGTGTTAAAGCTTGCCACTTATAAAAATATAAAAAATTTTAAACAAATTATTTTATCAAAAATGTAGTAAAATTAATTAAAATTGAAATTTAAACCAAAAATGTTATAAATTGTTATGATGTTTTATTAAGAAACATTAAGAAGAAGCAAAAGAAAAGCTTTTTGTAGAATAAAATAGATGTTTTTTTATATGTTTATTATTGCAAATATTATTACGATTATTAAGTGTTTCACGATGATGAATAAAAAAAATGCCAAAAAAAAAATGAAATAAAAATTAATATTATATATGTAGGTATTTATAAAATTATAAATTTATATGTATATAACCTCTCTGTACTGTAATTTTCTCGAATTTAAAATATGAACACTATTTAAATTTATATATAATTCCATTCAATGTTAAAAAAATATTGTTGTTATTAAGTTTTAAAAATGACTTTTTAAAAAAGAAATTTTATGATGTTTTAGTCTTTTAATTAAAAAAAAATTTTAACTTTGCGATTTATAAAATAACAACAACAATTTAAAAATGATTTTTTTAATCCTCCTTAATGGCCAAATAAAATTATTTTTAATTCGTTTAATATTTAAGTTTGATACTATATTTACATTTTAACTACCAACTGTATGTACCTCTAACCTTATATCCAATTTACTCTTCCATTGTACCTTTTTACATGCTAAACGTACATATACATATGTATATATATATATATAAATAAAAAATTTAATGAAAATAAAATGTTAAAAAAAAAACTAAAAAGTTCAGTACAAGTAATGGAAAAAACAATAAAGAATAAAAAAAATTTTAAATGTAAAACAGATTAAAAACGAAGAAAAACAAAAATTAGGGAAAAAATATGATAATTAAAAGAAATTTTTAAAATTTCTAATTTCAAAATTAAAATATAAAAATAAATTTTTGTTTTTTTTTTTAAATTTATTTATTAAATTTTTAAATTTAGAGATCAAATTTAGAAATATAGAAAAAATACCAGAGTCACTGTATGGCAGAGGCATTGGCGATAGAAACACATATTTAATATGTGAATTTAAAGGTTTTCAAATTAGTGCTTATATTAAAATGAAATTGTATTCGTTGCTTTTTGTTATTGATTTTAAACGGAAAAAGTTTTTCTTATATTATTACAAAATTTGGTGTTAAAAATAAGGTATTAAGAACTAAAAGCATTTAAGCACTGAAACTTTTAAAATTTGTTTTCATTTTACATAAGCTTTAATATTCATAAAAATACAAAAAGTAGAAAGCAATTTTTATAAAAACCACTTGTTTTTATTTTTACATGCATACATATATTACTAGCTTTTACATATTCCGAAAATTTGGGGCTCATTTTTCTACATGATTTTTAAATTTCTAATAAAAATTCTTACAAAAGTTAATTCATTTCAGTAGAAATATGTAAATAATAGGTACACACTAGCCTTTCAATTGCCGCGTATCACAGTTTATATCAGTGTTAAAGTTAAATTTTATAATTAATAATTGAAATTTAGGACCCTGCAATATCCGTGTAGGTTACTGAAAAAATGTCAATTTAAAACTATGATTAATAATTTTGGTGCAATTTTTTTTTGATCGAATATAAACCTGTACAAAAGTTAGGTGTTATCAAAATTTTTAAGTTAGATGTATCTCAAAATTTATTCAAAATATTTATGAAGGAAAATAGAAATTGCTTTCTATAAATTTTGGGAAAAAATTAGTTAAAGTTAAAGAATTCAATTTTAATTTTAAAACAATTATAAATAAAATATGAAAAATTTGTTCATAGAGTTTCATTAAAATTAATATAAAAACAAGTAAAACATCGAATCAAATTTATACTTAAAATGTTCAAAAGGAAAATAAACTCAATAAAATCAAAAAGGAAAAAGTAATCCTTAAATAAAATTATGTTTTCTTATGAAAAATAGAAAAAAAAAGAAAATAAATAAAAAATTATTGTAAAATTTGTAAAAGAAAAAAATTTTTTGTGTGCAATTTTTGGCACATCCGTTTTTTTTTACTGTTTGGTAAAACTTCAATAAACCAAAGTTTTTAAAATTAATTATTTTAATTTTTTTAATATTTAAATTTTAAACAAAAATTTTAAATTGATAATTTCCATAATTGATAAAATATAAAATAATATTTATTAAATTATTATTTGCATGCGTAAATTTTCTTTAGTCAGAATTTTAAATTTGTTTATATTGAAGAAAAAACTTATTTTTTTGGTATTTAAAACACCAAATTAAACAAAATTACAAGAAAAAAGAGAAGAAATTTTGTTTAAGTTATCTATACTTTTATTTTATCAAAAAAAAAAATATATAAATTCTTAACCGTTTTTATTAGGTTGCTCTAATTATTTAATATCTACCGTCAATTTATGCAGATTTAAAAATATTTTGAGTGAGAATTAAATATTTACTTTAACGATGATAAAAAATAGATGAAAGCACAATAAAACACAAATTAAAATACACAATATCATTTTTATTACGTTTAAGAAAAAATATGTAGCAAATAAATAAGATGATTGTAATTGAAATTCAATATAAATTTAAGTTTGCAAATATATTATAAAGCCAAAGAAAATAATTAAATAAATAAACAAGAAAAACACCAAAGAAATATTAATTTGGATATTAAGAAAAAAATAATTATAGTTCAAAAAAGCAAATCAGCTTGTTATTTTTTCGTTAAATTAACACAAATTTTGGAAAAGAATCTAATTAATTGCTCAATCAAATTTAATTAATATCAAAAAAATATTTGATTAATAAACAATATTTTTCTTTTCATTTTAATATTTTAATCATTAAATCATTAAAGAATAAAATAACACAAACTTTCTTTAATTCGAAAAAGAGCAATTCTGAGCTGCTGCAAATTGTTAAAATACCATTTAAAAAAAATACCAATTAAAAATATTAAAAATATTTTATATTTAGAGTGTCAACTTCAATCGTCTACTCTTAGTTCATCATTTCCTTTCAGTTTTCGTTCGGTAGACATTTTTTGGGGTAACAAAACAGTTTTCCCTTCGAAAAATTATATCAAGATTATTTTAGAAAGTTGAAAGATATACTATATATTTTAGAAACCATACATAACCGGTTAAAAACAAAAACAATATTTAATAAGTATATTGTTTTATAATAAGTTTTATTACTTTACAATATGTATTTGGATTGGGCCATTTTGATTCTGAGAAACTATTATACTGACGTATTTCGTGCTCTATACAAAAGAACTTTTTTATCATGCTCGAAGCTAATTTTCTTTTATGGAAGAAAATTAATTCTTTTTCAAATTAAAAAAAGTTTTCTTTATTTTAAAATATGAATTTAAAAATTTGATATTCGTCAAAAATCTCCAATTATCGATTTATTTTATGAATATTTTTCAAAATAAAGTAATCTTTGTAATAAATTGCATAATAATGAATTTTATATGTTATAAAAATATATTGTCATTAATTATTAGGTATAAATAACAATAATTGTATGTTCATTTAATAACGAAAAAAAAATATTTTATATTGGTTTCGTATATGACATAATGGACAAAAGTGGACACAATAAATAAAATAATAAACTGACTGTCTTAAAATAATGTTAAAAATTAAGTTTTTAGACATAAAATTATAATTGAATTGAGCTTGATTAAAGCTTTCTTTTAATTTGTTTTATTATAATTAACATAGTATTAATTTTTATTATAATTATATATTGCTTGAATAAAGTAAGTTTAAAACAACAAAAAAAAAAAATAAAAAACATTATTTTGTAAAAATTAATTTAAGTTTGAAAAAAAATTAAATAAAAAAGC